GAACCAGCCAAGTGGCTTTGTGTGCGTATGAGCACGCGTGCGTAACAGGCGAATGCTGACAAAAATCAATAACAAAAGGGAAGGAGTCATCGCTACACACGGGCCTTCACGCACGCACACTCGCGCGGGGCGGCTGTCAGTCCACTACAAGATGATAGTGATTAGAATGATTAACGTAGATCTTCCGGAACAGTAATACTATATAGAAGAAATGTAATTTGCGTCTGTTTGGCTGCATCTGACAAATGCTTGCAGTAAGTGGTCAGACTTCGGAAAAATGAGACCATTTAGTCGTAAGTGGATGGGTGCAGTTTTGCTCGGCAAAACCAATGATTAAAAGGTGTGGAATGTGCAAATTAGAATTTTAGAAATGGAGATCAAGTTGCCATAATTAGAAGACACCTCATCGTGTGAGGCAAAAGACCTTGGCTTTTGTCTTCCACAAAAGCGCCGAAATCTTTGTAGCCCCTAAATTTTTGTGCCGCTACCGGACATTTCTGCTACCATCTGACTTTGCATGTGAAAGGGTACTTAAACTAATATCGTGGGCGTGTTTACGAAGTCTTATTATTTTTATTATGATCCGGTGTGCGAGCGTGAAAAAAATAACCCCTATTTTAAATTTTTCCTATTTAAGCTACTTTTGTTTTGAAAATTGTTGAAAAAATAGATAAGTAGTGCTCGGTTTAATGTTTGTCATGCTAAATCCCACAAGGTGAATATAATTCAGCAAATGCACACGTCTTTTTCCACCCGAGTACAACTTTCACGTATTAAGGTACACACCGTCTGGTTGTCGCAAGTGCGCAAAATGGGTTATTTTGTCTTATTTTATTAAAATTCGAGCATTTATAGACCTCGAAGTTATCTGCTAGTAGACTTTCGATAAATAAATTTAAAACGAAGTACCAGCCAAATTTCTGTTGTGTTCACATTTTTGCCAACTACCGTCACTAACCACTTTTGCCTTCAGGGCTTCTCACGGCTTGTTTACAGGGTGTGTGGTTTGTTGCTTTTAAAAATGATATCACGAGGTAAAGGCTTGACTGCCACTACAACAGGACTAGGTCGAACATAGTGTAGGGGTGTGAAGTGAACCAAGGTGAAGATTTCAGCGTGAGGCCGGGTCGTGTCAAGGCCAAATTTAGTCTAATTTAGAGCTAAGCTAACAAAATTCCGTCAGGATATCTGTTCCCTTTAGGAATAATTTTCACTGATAATAAACTGACCCCACCGCAAAATTCGAATCAAGAGTACTGTGAGCTTAACGTCTCACCTCGATTAGATGTCTTACCAACCAAATGAAGTTCAGTAAATATCAGTCCCGCCATCTTAGAAACCACCAGGCGTTTTTCACTTCTGACTTCCAAGAAATCACCTTAAAATTATGTTCGTTTGCTTTCGTCACATTGTGACTTTGATCACAGCTTAAAATTTCTGATTTCTATATGATTGGGATTTATGAATGAAACGCATATTTTTAAGTGTGTTGAGGGCCCCAGCATGTGGTCTTGAACCACGCCGGGTCCACGAAATTAACCCTTGCCCGATTGCGCTTATCTGATACCCGTGAGCAAGAAAAAGACTTAAAAGGGCGTGGACACAACCGTCTACTTCAGAATTCAACTACATTGGTGCCGTGGGTGGCATTTGCGCGTGTGTATTTATACCTCGGGTGTGTGAGTCATATATGAGCTAACACCGAGACATAGATGTGAGGACAACCCAGTATAAATGTTCGTGCGAATGAGGCGGGAGTTGAGGAGCCGCGCGGCTGTCGACATGTTGCGAAAAGGAGGACCCTGTGTCGGAGGCTGGAGTGATTGGATTTGCAAGTGTGAATCATACCGATTCACAGTAAGTGTATTGCCACACGTACCTTATTAGACAATCCGTTTCACTTTATTATTACGCGAGACAGACAAAATTTGAAAATAGTTTGTTCTGGCCCTGAATTTGTCACTGTCAGTGTGGCACTGTGTCTCTTTCCATCTCTGTGTAGTAGTTGAACACTTTTCATGAAAGATGAATTTGCATTAATTAGACACCGTTATCACTGTGCTGCACAAATTCAGCTAATTAGTCACGTTAAAACGCCTTTTTTACCTTCCCGTGGTCCTTTCCATTACCAACACTTTATAATGAATCACTTCTTGGCTTTACCTAGCTGAGTAGGCAGGCATAAGACGCCCAAATTGTCCGAATTGCGGTGTGACTACCAAATTGTTGCAGCAGATTCCCGTAGCGTGGCAGCTGACTCAGGTGAAGATGATTTCAAGCTTGAGATGTGGCGCTGTTGTCGCAGCGTCAAGCGTAATTCAAGGACACTACATATCGCTATTAACCTTTGAAAGCAACTCTAATTTGGTGTCAGAAAGAAAGTGAACGAATGTTAACCTTGCTTTTTATGGCATTTCATAATTTGGATCACGTAGCGATGGCTCACTCTTGCACTCCGTTCGATACTTAACTAATTATGCTAATCTGAAGGTGTGTTGATGCCGTAGAAACTAAACCACTCTAACTCGGTAGGGATTGTTAAGCGGTGTGCGTAAGTCATGTTGAAACAGTTTTTTTTCCTAAAAAACGCTTTTAGTGTTCACTCAAGTAAGGGAACGTGAAATTATGCTTGAGTGGTTCCATGCCTTGAAGCAATGTTGACGTTCGACGGATAAAAACAACCTGTGCAGATCCCTCCCTTCTATTTCAGCCAAGAAAGTGGAAAAACCGTCTACTTAAAAACCAGCAGATATTTATGCTAGGTGGACAGCGTTATTTTGAGAAACTAGCAACTACTGTGCCGTAGCATTTGCCCTTCCAAGTTACCTAGCATGTAAAACTAGAGACGAGACGTATTACGGCGTACATCAGAAGCTAATCGGACATTATCACCGACCCTTGTGCCGGAAGAAGAAATGGTGCCCTAGATAATTGTCTACGTCGAACCTTTCTAATTGGGTTATGATATGTGGGTCGTTGAAAATGTGTGCATATTTGTGCCTGTTCGCGATGCCATTGTGAACGCCAAACACAAGGTCAAAGCGAAAGCGTTAGGCCAAGTTTTTGTGGTTGAGCCTCAGCCAGATGGTGCAACTGTTGTTTGTGTTAGTAAAATTGAGTAGTTACTTGAATTCCCAAATTGAACACGCAGAATCATCTCGGCCCCGGCAGGTTTCGTACACGCTTTCGCCTTCTCAAACACTTCATCTCTTGGTCCGAACAGACACTTTTGGCGCGCTCCCTATCCACCAAGTTGCCAGCAGTATTTGCAAGTTAACACTACTAATTTCAAAAGTGCAGTGAATCAGTATGTCGAAGACGGAGATTCTGGCTTGCTTCCGTCAAGAAGTTTGGGAAGTTGCTTCACGAGAATGTCGTGGTGGAATATCGAGAATAGCATCATAGATGCCCGCGGCTGCAAATTGACGTGAGGCGTAAAATGAAGGCATGGATGTTTTGCCTTCAGTTGAAGAATCTGACATGCATTTACCTTACTGTACCCGTTCAGCACTTTTTATTCATTGCTATCTGGTCAACTTGCCTCACTCAGCCAGTTATAACACGAGTCGAAATCACTAAGCCTGTTCAAAATTGGGCCACGAAAGAAGTTAATGTCTTTAATTAACGGATGGTGCCCTTGTAACAACAATTGCTATTTAAACATAGTTCTACGAAGATAAAATGCGGAAAAGTGATGGGTAGTGGAAGTGACTGTCAGCCTTTCCTTTGGACTCAGGTAGACTTTGAGTGAAGAAGAAGGAGCTTCAATTCCGTCTTGTCAATCTTACCATCTGAATTTTCATCCCATTGCTTCAGCAGGGTCTCCTTGAAGTGGTCAAGATCTTTTGCTTCGTAGTTCTGCAAATTTAAAACACAATTAAGCGCAGCTGACAGCGTGTATCTGTCATTAAATTAGTGCGGAAGCCAACCTTTTTTGCAAGATCCAGAAGGTCCTTAACCAAGCCTTCAAATTCCTCGTTTTCAATAACACCATTGTGATCCTAGGAGATCAATGTGTAAATAACTATGTTACGATTTTACAAATCACGTCACTGATTGTGTCACAGGCATGAAATGACATGTTTCTTAGATTTTTTTCAATTTACACCACGGCATCCTTTTGCGTTCGTATTGGAAACGAATAATACTCAATATTTAACTGATGAAAAAAGGAACAGATTTAATTTTTAAAACAACGAACTTAATCGCCGCAAAAAAATATTGCTTTTAAGCATGAAAAAAAATAGTGAAAACGGGGGCTAGAAACCTTAAAAAACCGGATTTATGTAAAGGTGGTCGATAGCTTTCAATGACCATGTTTCTACTCGACTCTAGTATAGGTAAACAAACCACTTAGAGCCAGGGACACAAATTAATGGCTTGCTATAATGATACTAACTAGTGATTATGGTCTTTTAATTACATAACCTGTACCACGCTAAACGGTTTGACGTTAATTCCTGGGTGATATTGGCTGAACAAGGCTACTAGGATTTGTCTGCTTACTGGTGACACAGTGATGTGGTACTCTGAAAACAACGCTTTGAGAACTGTTTCATTTTAAATGGGATTTGAAATGATTGTTGCTAGAATGAAAGCACACTGCTTAAGATAGTTAGTTTTATAATACATTTAGCTAAAACAATTTCTGCTGTAATATATAACACGCAATATGAGATGTTTTTCGACTGGCGTATTTTTCTTTGGGTTGACATGCCTAAGTGTAAACAAACTTTGATTTTT